TGGTTAGTTTAGTGTCTTATTCAAGTGTTTTAACCCCTGAATGAGCAGTATGACTTGAATAAATATTATTAGTAGTATCAGATTCCCTTGTTGATGTTGGTAACGTCTTTCACTTTTCTTCATTTCTTAAATAGTTCTGATGTTTTAGTTCTTTACGTCGCTGTTCGGAGGCGATGTGCTGCTTCTGGAACAGTGATCATGCGACTGTCTTGGTAGTTGGTGATGCATTATTTCTTTACTCGGCATTGTTGTGTTCAGAAGGAGGAGGAGGAGGAGGAGGACATGTCTGCAGACTCAGGAACTGTAATAACTGAAGAGGCAGAAGCAACAAGTACAATTTCTGCCGATGGAGCAGATGCCATCTCTGCAGATGCACTGAACATCACAATTGCTGTGGATTCTTTGAGGTGCACAGACAAAGAGGGTACGTGTAAAGAATAGCGCATTTCATTAGGGGCATGCGCTGGCCAAGGCGTGAGTGGAGGATAAATGTGCCAGGGCTGAGAACTATAAGCTATATCAAATATAATTTTGTTTTTCTATAATCAGTTCCTATTCTGGACTGCTATAAATTAATATTCATGTGTGTTACATAAAATTTTGCTGTCAGACTAGAAAATAGCATAAAGTTCATGCCAGATGAACGGCTCTCCGTGTGTCAAGTATAAAACGTGTTAATCCTTATGTATTAGCATGTAATAACCAAAGTTTTAAAACTGCCCTTTTGTCTTCTTGCTCATAGCATGTAATAACTCTGTCATTAAATTTGATATCTTAGAGTTTTTCTACAATTTGTCACAATGTTTGGTTAAAATAAAGAAAGAGTAAGAGACACTACACAAAAACTAAGTCGCATTTCTGCATGCAAAAGTGTTGAACGCCTTTGTGTGGCAATTCTCGGAGAGATCCACCATCTGTGAAGCAACGTGGAGCGCACTCGTGTGATGCAGGTTCCACACACTTGTCCCATGACCAATCTGATGTCACTGGCACTTGTCAGGGTCAGCGTCACATTTTGCCCTCTCAAAGAGCCCCTCAGTAGTGGTTATGCTACTGGTAAGAGATCATTCATGAATTGAGAATCTGGAGGCAATGATAAAGCAAAGAATGCAGACAGTGCTAAAAAATGTATCTGGTTCTTTCTTCGTGGAGAACGCGTTTTGAAATGAGTGCATATCATAATTTTGCTGTTTGTTTTTGCTACAAGTCTGATTCGAATGTTAGTTGAATGGAAGAAACACAGGGCCTTGTTTTTTGTGCTGCAGTATTTTTTTTTATTTGTAGTGTTCTGTCTGACGACAGGTCCATATATTATGATACTTCCCACAAGAATTAATATCTTGGAAGATTTCAGACTTTCCAGTTGATTGATTTTGAAAATCCATGGCAATGATAAAGCAAAGAATGCAGACAGTGCTAAAAATGTATCTGGGTCTTTCTTCATGGAGAACGCGTTTTGAAATGAGTGCATATCATAATTTTGCTGTTTGTTTTTGCTACAAGTCTGATTCGAATGTTAGTTGAATGGAAGAAACACAGGGCCTTGTTTTGCTCATGTCAGCGTTTGCTTCCAGACGAGGGGAGTCCACAGAATACAGAAGTCAAGAGGATATATGACCGAAATTTCCTGTTGGAGCTGAGGTATCACCCTCTGTCAATGAAGAGACCGGACGACTTACCTGATCTTAGTGCAATAATGAAGGATGGCACAAACCAGGTACGTTTAAAATTGGCACTTATTCATATAATGACGTGGTAAGTCTTTTTAAAGTGTGTAAATAAATGTGGGAAGTTGAATCCACTTTAGATTGTATCATTTGTTTTGGAGGAGGGAGGTGGATTTTATCTATAGCTGTCAGAGTGTAGTTTGAAGGATGAAGTATTGCCGAAGGCAGTCACTCGGTGTCTGAGTGACTGATTGGTGATGGTGATGGGGTCGGAGTAGCCAAATTTCACTCTCTTACCATTCAGAGCTTTGTATGTACAAGTGTATTATTTTGTGAGCTGTTGGATGCATCCAGTAATGTATAAAATGAATGTTTAAATTCAAAAATGGAAAGTTTAAAGTAAATATATGCCAGTTTAATTTTCAAAATATACTCAGAGTTGAATTCCTTACTTTGCCGTTCATTTTGAAATGCCCTAAAATTCTGAGCATAATTTTTATTAAATTGCTTGCAGGTACATGTGGTAGAGAGGAGATCCTCAAAGAGAAATAGAACTCTCTCTGACACGCCATCTCATAATATATTTTTTCCTGACTTCATGAAGGGACATGATTCCAAAGAGGTAAGTATGTGAATATTTTGTGTGTTTGCCTTGTGATAATTGTCCATAAATGCAGATGTTTCCATGAAGAGCTAGTGCGTATCTGGAGCAATTATCAGAAGTGTTAGCTACAGCGTTCTGCAAAAATTGTAAAGGAAGTTTCAACGTGGCCACTTGTAGTGTTTGGATTATTTTAAGATCTAGATAATCTGCTTCGGTTCAATCCACAGCAGCCTGCACCTTGGAGAAACAGACAGCCGATCGTCACTAAGTATAAGAAGCCTGTTATTCATATAGAGCTTTCGCTCAAGGAAGACGTTCAACTGCGACATACAGAAAACGCATGGAGGCCTAGACGAGTGAAGCCCTCTGCTACCAATGAAGAGGAGGCAAAGACTCAGGTATGTACCTGGCATTCTTTGACCACAGGATCGCAGAAGCAGTGAATACTGCTGTGTCTACCCCAATGTAAGATGGCTGAATGTAACAGTCCTGCACTAAGAAACTCGTCTACACGGAAAAAACAATTTTCTGATGTATCTGTGGGGTGACCAACCATTTAGGGGTGATGGGGGTAATTTGGTGAATTGGATTGTTTAAACTCTTGTGCAGTGACCAGAGGTTTTGGGTTTCACTCATACTGCGTCACAGATTGCTGAGTGGCTCTTAAGTTTAATGTGAAATGCTTCTTTCACGACCAAATCTCTTCAAAAGCAGTAATTGTCTTGGTATTTGATGTAACATACGCTGTAACAGATGTGGATGAGTTTGTACCCAAATCAGTGGGTATGGGGACTGGCACCCCTAAGCTACCTAGTGCCTTTGGGGGATAGCTGGGTCACCCTACCTCCGGGGGCTGTAAATACGGAGGTCTGGCATGCTGGATGGACTCATTCACGGCAGAATGGCAAACAGATTGTCTGTGAATGAAGAATTTAATGGAAGAAGCTTTTCAAGAAGGACAGGGCCCACTCAGGGTATATATGTACCTAATACGACTTAATTACTACCCCTCATAAGTTGGTTTCAAGAGTGAGGAATACTTACTGTTAGATCATTCTTGAGTGATTCTCCAAAACAGTAGCGTACAGTGTGCGTGAATAATGTGTAAATGTATTTATATAGAACGAGGACACACAAGTATCTTTGAGAAAGAACTTACATGAAATACCAATGAAACCTCAAATCTTATTTTGCCTTAGCCCATAAATAATGCATATGCATGGATTTGAATAGCCCAGGAGACTAACTGAAATTGTAGATTAGCGTTCTTCACGCTCTGAGAACGAGGAAAATTAGTCAGGAGTAAGGGTCTGCTTACAGAAACTGAGCATGTACCAAATCGACTTCCCATCTAGCCATTGTTCAATGTCTTTGTTGCATAATTAGATATGCCCTCTTCTTCACTGCTGTTGCGTGTGCACATTCATCATGAAACCATTCATTTCGAATTACCATTTGTTTTGTGCCAACCACTTTTTCTGTCGCTTTCTTCGTTACATCTCTACATTTGGTCCAGCACTTGTCAACATGTGGAGGTCTCCATATAGCTTTATAAATAGCTATCAGCATTTTTTATGATGGAGCAAAGTTTATCAGTTAATTTTGGTTATTTCATACATATTGTGTTTTCCTACATAAGTAAGCAGTTGGTATTCATTTAAAATTTAAGCACGAAGTCTCTATTTACGAATTATATGTCATCTCTAGGGCATCTTTCATAGGTTATTTCGAAAGCATCATAAAGATCATCTTTCCCATCCTCTGATATATCTTTGGTAGGTGCATGTGAACAAATTATACTTCTATTGAAAAGTTTTCCTTCTATTTGAATGGAGCAAATCCTCACACCAACTGTATGGAAATGAAAGATTCCATGTTTCAGATTCTCATTTACTAATAATTGTAACCCAAATATGTGTTATGTTTCATGGCAGCTATAATATGAATCCCAATCTCGATACTTGGTTAAAGTTCAATTTACGTTTGATCTACTACTTCCAGCATGTGCACGAATGACTCTATGTAAATGATGAAATAATTTCTGAATAACATTTAGCGTTAAAGAAACATGAAGGGGTAATGGGGGGAATCGCGTCATCCTATATGTAATGTAGCCACCGTAATTATTTTAAAAGTACTTGAATTGAGTGCGCTTTGTTCACACTGACATCTCTGGGGAAAACATATAAACAGTCTAGGACTGTAATGGCGGATCAAGTTGTTGTTATCGTGTGTGGTGAAGAAAAATCTCATTGTAGGCACGTTTCTTCTGAGTTTCAAAGTTAGCAGATTGCACGGTAAGTGTAACTTAGTGTTATTTTTTTCATAAAACAAACGATAACGTTTGAAAGTACAAATATGTATGTCTATTCTTCTGAATCTGCAGTCTTGTAACATGTTGGGTTAAGGCTGGAATATGTAATGTGCTGTGTCAGCCACGTCTGGGGTAATTTCGCTTTTTGGAGCGGTATAACCCCGGTTCCAGGCAGTGTGACCATACAAAATACAGTGAATAAATAAATGCATATGTTAACTGAAAGCAGTGTCTTTGCATGGGATTTGTATAGTGTGGTACTATCCAGGGCACATGGCAGAATTACCTCGTATATCGGGGCAATTCCACCAAATGTGCTTTTGCAAAATGTTGTCAAAAAATTACATGTAGAGCAGAAATGAATACAAAATTCTCCATGTGTTGTATTCATGAAGAATGACTATTTTAAAATTTGATATTTGGCAGATTTGTTACAATGTTTTACAGAACTGTACAAAACCAATGGACAGTTTACATAAAGACGTACATGTTTGTCTGCGTGCCAAAGTGACTGGGAAAACTCCAGACTGTCTGACATTGGTGCAAATGCAAACATCAGTAAACAGTGTAAGACTTGAGGTTCTCACAGCGGTGAGTATGAAGATATCCGTCTTCTGGGTTATTGCGCTGTGTAGTCTGGTCGATGTT